TCTCTCTCTCTCTCTCTCTCTCTCTCTCTCTCTCTCTCTCTCTCTCTCTCTCTGCCTCTCTGGGTCTCTCTCCCTCCCACTCCTCCCCTAGGAAGGAGGCAATGACACACCATTTGGAAAACCATGCCAAAAAAGCTGCAAGGGACTTGTCCACGCAGTTGCCAGGAGATGAAAATTGACTACAAGGAACCTCTCCCCACTCCTCAGGAATTAAAGGACCAGGATTTACCAATTTTTGAACTGCAGTGGACTATGAGTGAAATGTCACGGGCATGCTCAAATAGCACAGGGTCAGCTTGCACATGAAGGGCCAGATGTAGAGAACAACAAGGCAGAGTTGGTGGGTGGAGTTAAGTCGTTATGTTCCCATAAATGGTCTGAATCGAACTCATGTTGAATTGTATTGTCCCTTATCTGGTGCCAGTTTAATACTGAACTTTACTTAACTAGATTCTTGTGTGTAGGGTTGAGTAATAAATTGTCTGAACTGCAACTTAACTGATCCTGACCATTTGCATGGTCCTGACCTTCTGCCTGATGTGCCCCAATAGAAGCAAATGACTTGGGAGGGGAGCAGTATGAACATCTCTCTCTCTCTTTCTCTCTCTCTCCCTCTCCCTCTCTTTCTCTCTCTCCCTCCCTCCCTCTAACACACACACACACATGTTTGTGTGTGTCTCTCTGTGTTGGGTGGTCTTTTGCCTTACCATCTAGGCCATGGACACAGATCACTAGGTGGATCCCATCTTCCAAATTTTCTTCCTCTTCCTCTGGTGGAAAATATGGGATATCAGAAGCTAGTATGGATAAGTCACTGTACAGAAATCCTTCAATCTTCAGTTCCTTTTTAAACGTTTCTTTGGCCTGATAGAAACTGGAGAATACACCAATAAATCACAGGCTGAACAATCTGTAGGATGTAACTACTTCGACCATTTGGTTAATTACGATGGATATCTCAGTGGCGGAGAAGCAGGACTGATTTAGTTGTTCAAATCTGAGTGCAAACAGCATTCCTTAAATTCCCACATTTATGTGCCATATCAATTCAGCAATGTCAAGAAACACAGCCTATTTCTGCTCTTGTCTATGATAAATGGAGGCAAGTTATATAAAGGAACCCCACTCCATTTAGGAAGGATACATTGCAGAGAACCCTGGAAAAACCACAAAAGATGAATGAGAGGCACAAGGGTGTAGTGATGTACCCACTGATGCTGTTAAGAAGCTTCTAAAGGGGCACCACCTATATGTTGCATTCCTATTCACATGGATCCTATGGAAAAGTACCATGCTTGATGATCTCATGGTTAAAGATTTTTTTAATGTGTTTCACAACTAAGCTCAATGTTTCTATAAAACCATTGCAAAATAATACTTGAGGATTAGAATTTAGGAAATAGACTTTTCCTACCATTTTTTTTCAACAAGAGGAGGGAGGGAGGGAGGGAGGGAGGGAGGGAGGAAGGAAGGAAGGAAGGAAACGTGAGAGAAAAAGGAAGGAAAAAGGGTACTATATGTTTACTTTTAATATCATCTTTAGGATCTGTTACTGTGCAAATGTTCAGCATGTCAATATTTTTATCAAACATATGGAATATGGAATATATGCCTTGATAGTCTCAAGGTTAAACGATTTTTTCTCTGTGTTTCACAACCAGGTGCAATGTTTCTATAAAACCATCACAAAATAATACTTGACTTTTCCTATCATTTTTTTTTCAACTAGAGGAGGGAGGGAAGAAGGAAGGAAGTGTAGAAAGTTAGCACAGAAGGGAGGAAGGAAGGAAGGAAGGAAGGAAGGAAGGAAGGAAGGAAGGAAGG